GGAAGTGTAGGGAGAGGTGAAGAGAGGGAGTAAAAAATGGCACAAAAGAAACGTTTGGGGTGAGAGACATTTTCACTATTTTGATTGGGTGATGGTTTAATGAGTGTATGCATATGTCAAAAATTATCATTTTGTACAACTTTAAATATATGTAGTTTATTGTATCTCAATAATACTTTAAGGAGGCTTTTATTTTCTAATCCCTCTGGAATAGAAAACCCAGAAATAGGCCCACATCAATATACTCAATTGATCATTGACAAATAAGCAAAGGCAATACAATGGAGCAAAGATAGTCTTTTCAACAGATGGTGCTGGAACAACAGGACAGCCAAATGCAAAAAAAAAAAAAGAAAAAGTGAATCTGGACACAGAATTTACACCCATTACAAAAATTAATTCAGAATGAATCACAGGCCTAAATGTAAAATGCAAAAGCTATAAAACTCCTAGAAATTAGAACAACACAGGAGAAAACCTAGATGACCTTGGGTGTGGTGATGACTTTTTAGATGCAACACCAGAGGCATGATCCATGAAAGAAAGAATTAATAAACTGGACTATAGTAAAATTAAAAACTTCTGCTCTGCAAAAGACAATGCCAAAAGAATGAGAAGACAAGCTACAAACTGGGAGAAAATATTTGCAAGACACATCAATAAAGGATTGTTATCCAAAACATTCAAAGAACTCTTAAAACTCAACAATAAGAAAACAACCTGGTTAAAAAATAAGCCAAAGATTTTAACAGACACTTTGACAAAGAAAATATTCAGATGGTAAATACATGTATGAAAAGATGTTCCACATCATACAGGTAGGTCATCAGGGAAATGCAAATTAAAAAAATGAGATAGCACTACCAGAATGGCCAAACTCTGACACCACTAAATGCTGACGAGGATGTGGAGCAACAAGAACTGTCATTCAGTGCTCGTGGGAAAGTAAAATTGTCCAGCTACTTCGGAAGACAGTTTGGTGATGTCTTACAAAAACACACTCTTACTATACAATTTAGCAATTGTGGTTCTTGGTATTTACCCAAAGGAGTTGAAAACTTATGTCCCCACAAAAACCTTAACGTGGATATATTTATAGCAGCTTTATTCATAACTGCCAAAACTTGGAAGCAACCAAGATGTCCTTCAGTGGATGAATGGATAAATAAACTGTGGTTCATCCAGACAATGGAATATTATTCAGTGCTATAATGAAATGAACTATCAAGTCATGAAAAGACATGGAGGAAACTTAAATGCATATTAGTAAGTGAAAGAAGCCAATCTGAAAGGCTACATATTGTGTGATTCCAACTATATGACATTCTGGAAAAGGTAAAACTATGGAGACCGTAAAAAGATTAGTGATTGCCAGTGGGTTGAGTCGGGGATTAAAATGCCGAGTGTAGAGGATTTTTAGAGCAGCAAAAGTACTCATATTTTTTATGATAACATAATGATGGATACATGTCATACACATTTGTCCAAACCCATAGAATATACATTTCCAAAAGGAACCCTAATATCAATTATGGACTTAGGGTATTATGATGTATTGATGCACGTTCTCCAATTGTTACAAATATGCTGCTCTGTTAGGGAATGTTGATAATGGGGGGTCCTATGCATGTGTGGGGCCAGAGCGTATATGGGGAGTCTTTGAGCCTTCCCTCAGTTTTCTTGTGAACCCCAAACTGCTCTAAAACTTTCAGTCTTAATTTTTAAAAATCCCTCTGGTTGTTCAATGCAGTGTTGACTCTAGAAATTAGGAGTGGAAGAGGGAGACCATTTCTAGTGGTCCAAGTGAGAAGGGCTAGTGCCTTGAACAAGGTTGGCAGTAGCAGAGATGAACAGACATGGGAAGATGTGTGATGTATATAGGAAATATAATCCACCGGACATGGAGAATGTGCACCATTTTCCAAAGCTCAGCTCATCCTGGCTTCACAGAGCAAGGAGCTAGGGAAAATTCCATTAGTAAAGCCCCCTGAAATGGCAGAGGAAGCTTAGGGCAAAAACTTACCCTCCACGTGAATGTCCTGAGAGGACATTATTGGTTACTTACTCGCTAAAACATAAATGTAAAGAAGAAGGAAAAGAATGAGAAGAAGAAAGATGATACAAGCACATAATTTGTGTAATATTCTCCAGTAGTGTCTCTTAATCTTAAAAGCAATGGTAGGAAAATAAGATTTGAGATGGGAGATCAGAGTTCAAAATTCAAAATAAAGTATATGCCCCTATTACGTTCAGAGTAGTTAGCCTTTCCTGACAATGATATAAATGTTAATAGCACCACCTTTAAAAATAAAACATAACAAAGTGACCCTTCAGATTTCAAGAATGTTTTCATGTTTACAAAGTTGTCCCATATATATAATCTCCTTTAATTATCATGTCAGCCTTTTGAGAATAGATACTGCTGGTCACAATGTTCTGATGTAAAAACAATTTTGGTGCTGTGAAAGCAACATGAACTTTGGAATAGTTCGGGCCTGGGTTTGAATATCTGTTGGGCGGCCATTTATTCATTGGGCAATTATTCAGATAATTATTTCTCATCTTAATTATTTTCAGGCTTCTTTGTTTATTCCTACCCTCCTCACACCTGTCCTTTGGTCATTTCACTACAATTAACACCCCCTGCATACCCACCCTCTGCTGGGTGTAAGTAAGGAAACTCAAGTCAGTCACAGCATGCTAAGTTGTCAACATTAGAAAGACCCTGTGGTCCAGCCTCTACCTCCTCCTGTCCCCATTTCACAGAGCAGGAAACTGAAGCTGAGAGAGATGAAGGTTCCTTGGCAGTCTGTACACAAACAGTTCTCCTGCCTGAGACCTATGATATTTACATTCTAATTTCCTCCCAGTCCAGCTGACTCAATGCCTTCTGAGCAACCCTAGTTTGGTGGAACTAGAGGTCCTGATGACCATTCAAATAAGGTGTTCAAAGTATCTGTGCATTTCAATCATATATCCCTGTTCTCATTGCAATCAGGAATTAAGAATTAGGCTTGTTACAATTTGGCATTTCTATGAACAGGCTGCTTCTTTAACAGGGATGATTGGTGAGATTGCTCACCAACAAAGGGGTTACAGTTGGGCTATGTCCAAGTAAGCCTGAGGACATTGAAATCTCAGGGGATGATTTTTCACCTTCCCAGGTGAAAAGTTCCTCAGACCTTTGGGTTTAGTAAAGTTCATTTCTAGCTCTTTCCTAAGTGCTCTTGACACTCATGAGTGCAGCTAGCATAGCAATGAGATCGAAGACTAGTTTAGGTTCTGGTAATGTGGGACATAGAACAAATTATGTCATTGCTTCAGTTCCTTCATCTGGACAATAGAGCTGACCATGCCCACTTTAGGCTTAGGGAACCTCCTTTGGTCTTAGCAAGTAAAGGCCCATGATGTTTCCCTGTGAGCAAGGTAAGACTTTGCAGAAGCCTGTCAAAAGTAGAAGAGGCCCCGATGAAAATCTGCACAAGCCTTCTGGCAAAGAGAGACCATGTCCAGATCCAAAGGTCTGAAGAATTTCAAAGCTAGGGAGGCACAGGGCCCCGTTGACACAAAGGGAAACATTCTTGCCTATAGATCTATCCTTCCATTTCTTCTACTATTGAATTCCCACCTGCTTCTCCATCTTTACACAGGGACTGTGGGACCCCCTCCACAAAAGAGCAATTACAGTACCCCATGTCACTCACCCTCCAATCCTGGATGTACATCAAGAGGAATAAAAGCGGACCTGTGTAAGTTCCAGTCCTTGACTAGTACAGTTTGCAAGCTTAAAATGTGCAAAAGCAACATAGAAAAGGAACTGCCTGTATGTAAGCAAACATCTGCAAAACCCTGGACAAAATCGAGGTCCCTGTGTACATGACAAGTGTTTCTGGTGTTTGTGTGTTTACCTGCTTGTCTGGCTGATTTTGCCTTTGCACATCTGGATAGGTGAGAAGTGTGTGGTTAGAGGCAATTCCAGACAGGTAAGAGGGAAGAAACGAGGGTAGAGATGACCTCTGGTTCCCAGGAAGATGGTTCTTAGAGCAGCTGGTACCATGCCAGGAGGCCCAATGTACCCCTATGGAGAAATCTGAAAGGCTTCAACAAGTATCTCTTGGCTTGGCCATAGCTTGTCCTCAGTTTGTAGGAGCCCCTCCCGTCTGCACCTTTCCGTCTGCCCTGAACAAAGTCCCTAGCCTAAGGCGCTAATGATTGTATCGCCCCTTCCCACTCTCCCCCCCGCACCCCTCCCCCCTCCCACACACGTACAGTGTCTGTTTTGAGATTGAACTTCGGATCCAAATCTGGTAAGTGCTGGCCTCTGGGAGCTCCGGTAACCCTGTCCTCAAATAAAGCTCCCGGTTAAAGCTTCTGTCCTGCCGCCTAAAACCTAGTCCGGGAAAGCAGGAAGTATTCGGGGAGCTGGGGTCTTCCTGGGCTAGAGCGGTTGTCTCCTGCCCTCACCCACGCTGCACCAGCACTTGTTTCTCCAAAGCCACTCAGCGTTTGCACGCGCGGAGGGGAGGGGAAAAAAGGAACCGGGAGGGGAGGGAGAAAAGGGGTGGGAGGGCGTGGAGGCCGGCCTGGCGGGGGCGGGACCCGACTCGCAAACTGTTGCATTCGCTCTCTCCACCTCCCAGCGCCCCTCGGAGATCCTGGGGAGCCAACGTGCTGGGAGAGCCAGAGGGTCCGGAGCAAGCCTGGAAGCAGAGGAGGCGACGGAGGGAAAGCGACCAAGCTAGCTGCTCCAGTGCGGGGCAGGAGCCGAAGGGACACACCGCGTCAACCCCAGCCGGGCTCTGGCGACAGCCAACGCCTCTTGCAGCGCAGCGGCTTCGAAGGCGCCGCCCCGAAGCTCTCCTTTCCTCTTCGGTGAAGTTTTTAAAAGCTGCTAGAGACTCGGAGGAAGCGAGGAAAGTGCAGGGTAGGGCTGACGGTTGCCTTTGTCTTCCCCCCCCCCACCCCACCACCGGTCTCCTCTCCAGCTGCTGCCTCCACCAGCTCCTCTCTGCTGCCCCTCTACAACCCCCGCCCCCCAGTCGGCCCAGCCGGGCCGGCCGAGTTTGCAGAGAGGTAACTCCCTTTGGCTGCGAGTGGGCGAGCCAGCTGCGCGTTGCAAAGACGGATCTGGGGAGCCAGGCGCCCGCGGGGTACCTTCAGCACCTCAGCCAGGACCTGGCTGCACGTGAGCTGCGTCCCCAGGTTCCCCTCACGCCCTCTCTACCTTCCCCTGCATGTGCGCCCCGCCAGTTTGTGGGATCAAAGATCAAAGGATGAAAAGGCAATCAGGTCTCCAGTAGCCAAAAAAAACAACAGCAGCAACAAAACCCCTCAAAAAAAAAACAAACCAAAACAAGCAAAAAGAAAACACTCAAACCAAAACAAAAGCAAAAAACACAGAAAGAAAACTAGCCCGGCTCCTACTGCACCTGCTTCAGTGGACACTGAATCTGCACGGCGGAGAGCCCCCACCCCCTTTTTTTTTCTTCAAGATTTGAGCATCTTTAGAATCTACCGTCCAAGTATTCAGGAACAGACTGTGAGCCTAGCGTGTTTTCGTCTGCAGGCTTGGAGGCTGTCAGAGCGCGCTTGTATGGTTATTCCTGCAAGTTTCTTTCTCAGGAGCGCCCCGCAGGTGGGCAGCTAGCTGCAGTGACTACCGCATCGCAGCCTGTTGAACTCTTCTCGGCAACAGAAAGGAAAGCGGGATAAAGGAATTAGGTGGAAGAGTCAGCCAAGCTCAAGGATGGAGGTGCAGTTAGGGCTGGGGAGGCTGTACCCCCGGCCGCCGTCCAAGACCTATCGAGGAGCTTTCCAGAACCTGTTCCAGAGCGTCCGCGAAGTGATCCAGACCCCCGGCCCCCGGCACCCTGAGGCCGCCGCGAGCGCAGCACCTCCCGGCGCCCATTTGCAGCAGCAGCAGCAGCAGCAGCAGCAGGAGACCAGTCCCGGACAGCAGCAGCAGCAGCAGGGTGAGGATGGCTCTCCCCAAAGCCAGAGCAGGTGCCCCACAGGCTTTCTGGCCCTGGAGGACCAACAGCAGCCTTCACATCACTCAGCCCCCGAGGGCCACACGGAGAGTGGCCGCCTCCCAGAGCCCGGAGCTGCCTCGGCCGCCGGCAAGGGGCTACCGCCGCCGCCAGCACCTCTGGACGAGGATGACTCAGCTGCCCCATCCACGTTGTCCCTGCTGGGCCCCACTTTCCCGGGATTAAGTAGCTGCTCTGCCGATCTTAAAGACATCCTGAGTGAGGCCGGCACCATGCAACTCCTGCAGCGGCAGCAGCAGCAGCAGCAGCAGGCGGTATCCGAAGGCAGCTGCAGTGGGAGAGCGAGGGAGGCCGCTGTGGCTCCCACGTCCTCCAAGGACAGTTACCTAGCGGGCAGTTCGACCATCTCAGACAGCGCCAAGGAGTTGTGTAAGGCAGTGTCGGTGTCCATGGGCTTGGGTGTGGAGTCCTTGGAGCATCTGAGTCCGGGCGAACAGCTTCGGGGGGACTGCATGTATGCTCAGCTCCTGGGAGGTCCACCCACTGTGCGTCCCACTCCCTGCGCCCAGCTGGCCGAATGCAAAGCTTCTTTGCTGGATGATGGCCCAAGTAAGGGCACCGAAGAGACATCTCAGTATTCCCCTTTCAAGGCAGGTTACACCAAAGGGCTGGACGGCGACAGCCTGGGCTGCTCTGGCAGCGGTGAAGCAGACGTCTCTGGGACACTTGAGCTGCCATCCACCCTGTCTCTCTACAAGCCTGGAGCACTGGAAGAGGCAGCGGCTTATCAGAATCGCGACTACTACAACTTTCCGCTGGCCCTGGCGGGGCCGCTGCCCCCTCCACCGGCTCCCCATCCTCACGCCCGCATCAAGCTGGAGAACCCGCTGGACTACGGCAGCGCCTGGGCAGCCACGGCGGCGCAATGCCGCTACGGGGACCTCGGCAGCCTGCACGGCGGGGGTGCGGCGGGTCCCAGCTCCGGCTCGCCCGCGGCCGCCGCCGCCTCCTCTTCCTGGCACACACTCTTCACGGCCGAGGAAGGGCAGATGTATGGGCCCTGTGGCAGTAGCTCTGGTGGCAGCGCGGGCGAGGCGGGGGCCGTAGCCCCCTATGGCTACACTCGGCCACCTCAAGGGCTGGCGGGGCAGGACGGCGACTTTCCCCCGCCTGATGTGTGGTATCCCGGTGGCGTGGTGAACAGAGTGCCATATGCAAGTCCCAGTTGTGTCAAAAGCGAGATGGGCCCCTGGATGGAGACCTACTCCGGACCTTATGGTGACATTCGGTAAGTTTCTCCTTTTAGAAATATCTTTCAGCCGAGTCAGTCTGCATTCTAGGTAACATCTTCTCCTCCACGCGTGAGCAGTCTGCCCCTGGGAGAGCTTGAAAGGTCCCCTGGAAAGGGCCTCCCGAAATCAGGAGCCTAACAAGGACTTGAGGCCTGCCCAAGATTTGACCTTACAGCTCCACCCACCTCCCCCCCAACGCCCCTGGGCGCCAGAATCACTACCTCTGGGAGTCCTGAGCGCCGGTGTGTGCCCTCTCAGATTCCTTGACAACTCTCCACTCCCAGCCTCCTAAAATCCTCACTGCCTCGCACTACTCCATGCCCAAGGGCTCCAAACTGAAGTCCCGTTGCAAGGGCCACCTTCGGAAATAAAGTCCTTGAGCCCTCCACAACTTTTTCTCCTCCTCTTCCCCAAATCTGTGAGCCTGGACAAGAAGGATGAGCAGTTTCTCCTCTTAGGGTGCATTAGAGTTTGCCCTCCAGCCTGTGGTCGGTCTTGGCAGGTTAGAGGCAAAAAGAGCGTCCCAAGCCTTTCTCAGCCCGCCTCCTTCAAAGCAATGAAATGGAGCGCCGGATCAGGGGACGAAGGGGGTCCCTGGGTTCTAAGGGCCGGCTGTGTAGAGAAGGGGTGAAGTTTTTTTCCTGGCAACATTTGCTTACTTGTCCTAGGGTTGAAGGTCAGCACAGAGAATCCAACTAGGCAGGATTAGAGCAGGCAAAGGTATTGGAAAACTGAAAGACAACTCTCTTAGTAAACACTGGGCAGGATTTGCCCTCACAGGTTGACTGTGTTGGAAGTAGCTGCTTGGGTCATTTTTTTTTCCTTGTAAAGTGTTTATTTTCTCTGTGGATTGTAACAGCACAGCCCCCTACTTCAAGTTTGCATCAGGTCTCTAAAGAGGAGAATGTTCTTTAAATGAAGAATTTAACCAGGCTTGAGCCTGGCTTATAAAAGTGTTTGAAAATAAATGTTAAAGGATTACCTGCTATTCCAGTGTGCTCAGAAATCTGCTTTGGGGAGGAAGGAGTAAGGCTCTTCAATATATTCCTTCATTTTAAGGCTATTTAAAAACTTGAGCTGTAACCTTTAACAAACTGAGTAAGAACTGTTAGGGACCTATGAGCCATAATCTTGCCCAAAAGTTTTAATTAGAAATGAGAAAAGTGGTGGTCAATTTCATCTTGCTTATTAAAAATTCTTCCTTAATGCAGTTGTTGAGCTCCTTGGAGACCATGTTGACAATTTGTTCCACCAGCAAAGTAAGATATTAGTTTATCTCAGTGAGGGAGGGAATATTGACTGGTAAACTAACTCCTTACTTAGGTCTGCTGGGTACTGATATACCCATGGAATTGCGTATCATTCTGTGTTTCTGTAGTTATTTTATCTGTGACTTTTCCGAAATTCCTTTTTTAGCCTTAGCATCTTTGGCGACTTGAATCCAACAATTTGCCTCTTTTCACTGATGCTTCTGTTCTTAGAAGGGTGATAACAACGGTGTTAGAAAAGAAAGAGGAGGATAGCATTTCATAAACTATTTTCTGGGCTATTAAAGAAAGAGATTCTTACCAGGCTTTACATTCTATTAGGTGTTTAAGGTTCCACTTACAGGATTTTCAATGGGTTCATTTAAAGGGTCAAAGACTTTTTCAGATAATTTGCAGTGTTTTGGTTGGTTTGTTTTTGTTATTTTTGCCAGGTGGTTATGCTATAGGATAAAGGGTCTTTTAATTTTATAAGAACTTGGTTAATTTTTTTTTCAGGGCTGTCGATAATCAGCAGAACCCTCTTCTATTGTGAACCTTTCTGTGGTAGGGGGATGTCAAAGGGCTTCTTGACCTACTCTTATGCTAAACTCAGTCACTGGAAGCTTCCTTCTTCTGCATGCCCCCTCCACCTAACTCAGTTAAAACGGATGAAAGGAATGATTCCACATATTTGTTACGGGTTGTCTATCTTCGAAGACATAACCCGAAATTTTCAGGAAGTGGCTATAGAAAGCCATAAATGTTTTTGCTATCAGGCATGCAATAAGCTAGGTGATTTTATCCAAGGTCTTAATAGAAAAACGTCTCTGTTAGAAAGAGCTGCTTAAATTAATGACCTGAACTGGAGAGAATTTTGCAGCACCTGAAGAAAGTACAAGATTACTTACTCTTTCCTGGTTTGTGATTGCTGCCCTGGTCATAGGAGTCTAGTTAAAGGGAAAACTGGTGTTCCTGACTTGTGGGTTGACAAAGAATTTTGATTTCTAGGATATAGAAAATACTTGAGTCAGGTTTTTGAAAATGTCATCAGAATGCAACCAATCCCAGTCTAAAACCAGATATTTTCTTACTTTCTCTTTCTTTCCCTCACTTTGTAGGGGCACAATGTGCTGAAAGACAGGGGATTTTTAAAAGCCAGACGCAGCTTTCACCTTCTCTGTATTACATGTGTTATGTGCCAACTTTCAGTTAAAATTCTAGATGCCTTCAATAAACTTTGGATTCTTTCCATTTTCAATAGCGTGTGTGTTCATACACATTAGTTAATTGTAGGGGTGGGAATTTTTAAATCTCAGTAATTTCTGAAATAACTCTGTGTTCTTATGCATCTATATTTCTGCTGAGAGAAAAGAGGCTGAAGGTGGTCTTTTATGATTTTGTTTTTGTTTTTGCTTTTCCTTAATTTACCATGTGGTTTGAACACTAGGAATCATAAAAAGTGATGGGGCTTGTGTGCAACCCTGCTGATATTTTATGGAGCTGTCTTCTTTCAGAGATCAAACAAGACTACAACTTTGTTAATTGACCACTGTCCCAATTGACAGAAGTAGGGCCCTTTATATACCAGCAAACAATGCAATAATATGAAAAATATTTATTTTTAGGAGTTAAGGCCCAGGGATCCTGTGCTGGAATTACAGTTGGGTTTTAGATAAGTTATCTAGATGCAAAAAGACCATTTTAGTTTTTCTCTTGGTATTTTATTCTGCTCTTTATAATAACCAGTATTTTAGTAGTGCTTTGAAATTGGCAAATCCTGCATTTCTCTATTAGTTATTTCAAAATAAGACGTTTGATTAATTCCTCTTTCCATCTCCTTTCCCTCCTCAGCTATCAAACAGCTTTGCGGGACAGTCTTTCACAGAGCAGTTTGTGTGTTTTGTAAAGCAGAATTTTGCGTTGGGATCAAGACAGACTGACACGCTGTCCATAAGCCTTGGGGATCAGTATATTGGAAAAAAGCATCCTTTCTCTATGGTCAGGAAATAGCTGGTGAATTCGGTCTGGGTACCGACAATCAGAACCTGAGGACCAAATAGCCACACTGGCTGGTACCCCATTTTGAATTATGTGCAAGATGTAGTGATGGAAGGCTCCCCCTTAGTCCACAGAATATCTCTCTCAGCTTGGCCAAAGGTTAACATCAGTGAGAGATATTTTCAAAGAAGTTCGCAGCCTTCCAGCTGCAGGGTCACTTTGGGGTGCTTTCTTGCCAGTGCTAATTTTACCTCATCAGGCTTCCATTCTTTGAGCTGTAAAGTTTAGCATGATACATTGAATTTGCTGGCACATTTAATTTTCTTTTTTAAGTGTTTTTCCTCTCTGTAGTTATTTTCACATCTGGTATACATATTTGTATTTAAAACAAAGAATTCTTTGACCTCCTGACTCTTGTCCTGTGGCTGCTCTTGGTGAGATTATGTGAGTTGGAGTTAGGGGCATGGACAATTTATTATTATTATTATTATTATTATTATTAATAATAATAATATTACTATTACTATTATTGTTGTGGTGACATCGACACCACCAGTTTCATGCAGAACTCTGCTCAAGCAGGGAGCAGAATGCTGGCTGTGTGTGGCTAGCAAGGGACTTATTTTATAACCAAACCTGAAATCATGATTCTGAAAAATCAAAAGCAAACAAAAATCAAGTTTTGTGAGGTTGGCCAGAGAGGAAGTACGAAACCTCTCTCCATCCCGTACACCCACCATTTTCTCTCTGTCTGCTGCTTCCTCAAGTGTTGCCTGTCCCTGATTTCCTTGATTTCCAGATCGTTAATGATTTTGACATTGAAACATAAATTCTTCTCCCTACTTTTCAGGATACTTATCTTACACCTGTGGCATGCTCCTAAAGATTGTTTTTTGTTAAAACTGGAGAGTAACAAATCAGATCAAGCCCAGCACCTCTCTTTTAAGACTACATGATTTGAGGGGATAACAAAATGAATAGCTGGACTCGTCTACCTTGAGGATAGACCCTGATTCAACACTTGCTGAGGGAGCTGCACTAGAGGGCTTAAGGAGTTGGCAATTTCATGAGGTATTTTGCCACCTCCTGTCTCTGCCTCTCTTGATCTCTGTCTCGCTCTGTCTACTGGTCATTTTGGCAACCCTTTCTCTCTTTTTTTGCTGTTTTTAAAGCTAGTTTCAGGTGTGCAAAACAACATAATGATTAAACATTTACACCCCGCACAAATTTATAGCCCCCCCCCAAGTCTAGTACCCCTCTGACATCGTACATAGCTATTCCAATACCATTGACTATAGTCCCTATGCTGTACTTTACATCCCATGAAATATATACCGGAGGTGCCAAAACAATGTATACAATTGGACACTTTGGTCAACGATGCTCAAGCAGTAGTTTGCCGTCATCAGAAGTGTCTGGACGCTGATGGGAACCACTTTGAGCACCTCTTGTCATTGCAGAAGTCAAACGTGACTTGTGTTCATCTTTTGTTACCAGTATATATTGAGTATTACAATTTTAATACAGTTTTTCCTTTCCTAAAATTTGTATAGTTTTTTTTGGCACCCTCTGTATATATACACATATATTTAATTATAGTTTGGCAACCTTTTCTCAAAGCCTGAGAATAACCGGACCCTCTCCCCTCGGAGACAGCTCTGTCTGGATCAGATCATCATAGCACTTTCACAAGTAAGACCTAATGTGATGTCAGGGTGCTTGCTAGAAGTATCTGGCTCAGCTTATATGCT